GTAGTATTAAATGTCTTTTGTTGTTATATTATTATACAGTTTATAAATTATACAGTTTATAAAAGATACGATTTGCCCAGGAATTGAGAAGATCTGCCAATGGAGTCTCATTTGGTCCCTTTCCCTGCATTAGATACAACCAGGGAGCAACCTAGGAGCATCAGATGCTTCTCTCTGACAGTGCCTTGAAACAGATACATCTTTTTAACAGTCTGATTGAAACTGCATAAAGTAGGCATAGCCTGCCTAAAAATCTTAAAATATAAAGATACTTTAAAAAAAAATCTAATAAAGAAAACCACACATATAACAGCTTGCAAGCCTGTAGCATACTTACTACAGCTTCTGAACAGTGATATAATAAATTTCAAACAGCTCTAAAATATGGGTTAGTATCTTAATTTTACAGTTTTGGGAACAGACCACACCTGTTTTTATGAGTTTATGTTCAGAATGCCCCCTCCAATTTTGCCAGGAAAAGGGGAATCTGACTCAAAAGTGGAAATATCTGCTTCTTGTCTTAAAGCCAGGCTGTGACAGGGATGGACCACAGGTGACATTAAGGCAACGTGCACTAACGCACTACAATGTTCTTCTCTAAACTTTTGTTAAGTAAGTATTTATTAAAACAACCTGGTAGCAGCTTATACGATAACAGCAGGAAAAGAGAGATTGAACATTTAGAACATAAAAGCTGGTTTTGATTTATAGCCTTTTATTATATTCATTTGCCTTTCAATGCTGTCTCTCAAACAACACTTCTGATGTGTAGGTAAACAGAGCCAGATATCCATGGTACTGCCACTGTAAATCTCCCTTCCCTTGCAAAATCAGATCCTTCTAACAACTTGGCTTCACCTCACTCACCAGCTACAACTTTAGATGGTCTCTAACGTGCCTGCTTAGATGAAGCTGCAGAGGGGAAACTTTGGCAATTTTGCCTTTTTTGGAGAAAAACTTGTTGTACAAACCTGCAGATAAAACTGAGCCATAAGCTTTACTGCCTAGCATTTCTGCCTGTTGCCTACAAAAAAATAAAGACAAAAAAGCAAAAAACCTCCAATTTCAAAACACCAAAAAAGTGACTGCACACAAACGTGAGCACACATTCTGTTTCTCAGTGTCCATAGCAGGGGAATATACCTAGGGTTTCCAAGGCACTGTAATATTCTCCCCAGCTTGACCAACAAAGCCACCAGCACTGACAGGTGACCTATGCATTACCAAAATAACATTACATGAGCCTGTGACAGGATAAAAGTCTTACCTAAGCTTGAATAGAAGTCAAGAACTGCAGGTGGAAAAACAAAAAAACCTCTGGAATTACAACAGGCTCTTAATCATCTGTGTGATCTCACATGATATTTTGAAAACAAGATTTTAATTGTTACATTTACTCTTTTTTCCCCTCTTCACTGGAAAACAACCTTTTAAGTCACTTTAACTCAGAACAGACAATGCCGATTGCATGGTTACACCCCTGCAGATTTTTGGACACCTGGCATCAGGAGATGTGACTGCTTTCAAACTTTTAAAGTTTAACAGGGCACTTCAATCAATGAAAATAAAATGCTTCAGATAAATTAACGTGTAAGCTATTATAAAGCTTCAAATATAATACGAGAAGGCAAAAATACTGCGTGAATACTTACTGGCAAGAGGCATTCATGGCGTGGAAGGTCTTGGAGAAATATCCCTTAGAGCATTTCCAAATTGCCTGTATCACTTTCTGCTGCCCAACACAGTGTGTCACTGCTGTGCACTATGACTGCCTTCTTATAACCCTTGCATAAATACAAACACCCTGAAATATGACCCGTGAGGAAATTCCCATTTCTACCATGGGAAGCAAAAAATTAAAAAAAAAATAAAAAAAAGATTGTTCTGAAAGGGGAAACCCAGCTGAAAGTGATCTCTGCAGTTCATTTTAAGGAACACATCCGAACCAGTCAAACATCTTCCAAGCAGAAAGAGGTGGGGGGAGCCCACCCACACTGTTTTGTTGGTTCAGCTTTCTAAACTGCCCCTACTTTTCCCCAGAGCAGAATGCCTATGATATCACGTCAACTTATTACTGATCTCACTCCTAGGTCCTTTTTTTGGCTTCTCTGCAGAGATGCCAGCAAATCATTACCTACAGTAAGCCCTGTCACCCCACACTTAGTTAACTGAGTTCAACTAAGCCTGCAAATATCAAGGGAAATGCTTTTAGACAGAAAATCATTATAAATTTGAACTGAAAATGGGCTAAAATGCCCTACAGCTTTAAGTCATGTTCAGCTGCCTGATCTTGCGCAAGCCGGAGGACAAGGTCTCCTTTCTCCCTAGGGCTATTTGGCTATCACCATATCGGCAGGTAAACACATCACTAGTCTGATGTGATGCTGGCTGTTGGGAATTTTCATTCTTGAGTAATACTAACAATAATATTTGGACATGGTTTAAAGCAGTGGCCTATCTAGCAGTGATAGGGCAATATTTAGCTAGCTCTATCTGGTCCCAGCACAAGGAATGATGCCTTTTGAGCTCCTCTATATTAGTGTAAGTTACAGTTAAAAGTTTAATATCAGAAAACTAGCTTAAGTCAAGGCTATTTGCCAGAAGCAATAGGAAAAGCATTTTAATATGATTGGCCAGATCACTAACTAGTTTACTCTGTAAAGACATTATAAGCTTTAGGCAAGACTTCCAGGCCTGGTAATTCAGGATAGTTCCATCAAAATCCTCTCAATAACTCTGCTTCACTCGAAGAGAGCACCTGGCCTGCCTAGTCCCAGTCCTCCAAAGCTACCTCACTCTTCTAAAGAAGACTTCACCTGAGTGTGGAAATCTTGTCAAGACAAAGATACTGAAGATCAAGTAGAATCTCTGAGAAAAGTTCCGAGATGTATTTTGATGTGTTTTCACATCACTAGATTAAGTGTGAAACAGGCAGATACTCATTTTTTTTAATAAAGGTCTTTACTAGTGTCATGCTCAAGTTTACCATAAAATAGTCATTTAATTCACACAAATTTAAAATTTGACTTCTGAAAAAATATGCTCCTCTATCACAGTACTGGTAGGAAAATAATTATAATAGTAATAAAAGTAACTTGGCACTAATTACTAGGCACCTAACTTCTTACAGAATTTTCTAAAAATGTGGAGTGCATTAATCGGAAAAAGGGTGACTATTATTCATTTATCAGTTTAACCAAAACAATAAATTTGCTTTTTGAGCTAGTTACAAACTCTAGAGAGAATATAAAGAGTACAAATGCAATATAACTATCGTAACTCCAAAATACAGTATCAAGACGACACATAGCTAGAAAGGCACTACTGGTTTCTATTGAAGTAAATACTCCCAGTTTTTGCAAATTCCTCAAACAGAAGTTAAACCTAAACCTCCATCTATTACTGAGAGACATAATTCCAGCAATTCAGCATTTAAAGTTCTAGAACAAGATCTTTATCATTAACTTCCTGTTGGTTCAAAATTTCTGAATCACTAAGCAAGCTTGTTTTTCCTCCAAGTAGAAAAACCTGAATCAACACAGGTCCCAGCTATTCTAGCATTTAGCTGTCATTTACAAAGAAAGATTCTTTATTCCAGCATTTTAGTAAGAACTCCTCCAGTTCTAGCTTCAGAAAGATTTTCATTTTGAATTTTTCCATTTGTTACATTTATATGCTATTCAGCTAAACTATCTACAAATATTGATTCTTAACTTACCCACCTTATGCCAGAACCATACCCAAGTAGATTTGGCTTTCTAATTAAGCACAAAGCAATTAAATTGCCTTCACTAATGAGGCTCACAAAAGGGGACTGCACATATTAGACCCAGAAACATCCTTAAATTGCTAGAAATTCCATTTGTTACTGGACACTCCCATAATATGATGCCCTTAGGAAGTTTCCAAAGTCACTGTTTCGTGAGCCAATAACTTAGCAATAGAAAATTTGAAGTCTTATGATTGTAAAATGGAAAAAAAAAGTCTGCTTTCTGGGATTGCCATGTCCACTCCTATTAGCAGTGGGCAGAACATATGAACAATTAGTCAGAAGGAACAACCTTTACTGATCTGGTATCTGAACCTTAGATCACCAAAATCTCTCCTCCTTTCACAAGACAGAAAAATATAGCAACTATTTCCTAAGCCAGAGAACAAAACACCCCTGCCCCCCGACAGCAACAAGCACCATAAACACCAAAGGAAAACAAAGGACCAACATGGAACAAAACAACACAACTCCATTGATTCCCACCAGAAGCTAAAAAGGAACACTGCCAATTTTCTTAGCTTCATGTTACTGTCTGGAGTGTTTAGTGAATGTGAGAACTGAACAGCAAAAACCAACCGCCAAGATAATTTCCTTTAATCCTAATGCTGATCCAATTTGTGATCTCTCTGTCCTTCCTCCTAGCTGATGATAACATTGGTTCCTGAAGTTACATTTTTCACTCTATTCAGCCTATGAAGCAGCAAACACCGAAAGGTTTCCTCTTCCGAGTGATGAAACACCAAGAGCAATAGAAGACTAAAAAAAAGAAAAAAAAAACGACAACCAAAACATGAATGAAATTAGATGGAGAAAGAAACGGTGGTGGGGATAAAAAAAAAAAATAAAAAAAAACCAAACACATAATGGGACATAACAGTTGAACATTACAAAAGAAAAGTTCACAGCATCTCTTGAGTATGAAGTAATAGTGGAAGATAGGTGTAATTTTGGAAGCTTTCTTTGCTTATAGGCTGAATACATACATTTTCAGCACCCATAAATGAAGATAGTCACACTAAGGAAAATCAAGACAAGGTAATTAGTGCTTTCTGTATGACTGGCCAAAGGCATTTGTTTCCTCATTAAGATCCTGCATATCACCCATGCTCCAAAAACCCCAGCTTATACAATATAAAAATCAAGTATAATTACATTTCTATCATTAAAAAACATGCTACTGTGCTACGATGATTTATCATCAAGACTGCCCCCTCAATGGCACACCCTGATCTCATGCCATTGGCTGCATTAAAATGTTTTCAGAAATAAAGTTCTTTAGTGAGCATAGAGACCACGCAGGGAATCTGCTTCTTCTCACTGAAGCGTGGGTCATCTGACTGCGACTCAAAATTCGTGGCCACCACGTAGTTGACCCGCGTGAGGATCTGCATGATCTCCAGTTGTTTTCCATGCTCATTTAGGACAGAGCACAGAGACTGCACAAACCAAGAGCCTCTTCCAGGATTTCTCCAGGAATAATAACCTAACAGAAAAAGAGGGAAGAAGGTACAGTGAGTTGTTTTACCTCTTTTTCCTTATTGCCATGTACTAAAAAGTGGAACAGCACAGAGGTATAAATTTATGTGAAAGGTTCTGAGTGAAGGAGTAACTACACAAATGGAAAGTTTAATTTTCATCACTTGTATGACACACTGAAGCTGAAAATATTGTGTATTCCTATCTCATTGATTGTCTCAGCACTATAGCACGATGCTTTGTGAAAATGCAAGAAGAGAGTCCATGCTTCTCCTTTCCAGGAATACACTTTGTGCTGTCACGCTTCTTCCTGCCTTCAACTCACATTCAACCTACTCACTAAAATGGGGCCTCTGAAGGACAGGATTCCCAAGATAGCATCACATCTGCCTCCTGTAGTGTCCATGCCTTCTCACCTGCCAAATCTGGGTAGCATCACATCTGCCTCCTGTAGTGTCCGTGCCTTCTCTGCCCTGCAAAATCTGGGCCATATTGCTGCTGTTCCAGTTTCAGCTACCATAGAAGGTGGGGGGGGACAGGCACCACTCCAGGGACTTATGTGATTTATCCACCAAGGTACAAAGCATCAAAGAAGGTCAGTCTGTAGTACTGGTGGAAATATTAACTGCAGCTGTTACAGGTAAGGTATAGACACACCAAGTTCTGCAGAACTAACATGCTTTACATAACTATTACAGTTGGAAACTGTCAATTGAAAACCTAAAGAAAAAAGCAGCTATTTTTTCAAGCTATAGGGATTACTCTAATTAAAGAAGTTCATCTTCTACCTCCAAACTGTCTCCTGAAGAAGTTGCTTCAGATTATTATTTTTTTTTTAAAGAGTAATCTTCAACAAGTACTTAGGATAACTGATTTGTGATGACAACTGCCATACATAGTTAGCAGTGTGAAGCCAAGTATCTTATTCAAAGTACTGCTTCTGTGACAAGCATTTCCATACTGTTAGCTCCATAGCACTATAGTGGGAGTACTTCCCTTAGATTCTAAGTCTTCACTAAAAGAGTGAAGGGTGCTAACCATGGTACATTCAGTTTCTGAACAGTAATGAAAACCAATATGGCACTTCTATTTATATTCTCCCAAAATAAAAATGGTAAGAGTGCTCAAGAGAAAATTTTAAAAGTTTGAAAGAGTTTTTCATAGAGCACGATTCTACTTCTTTTTTATTTACTTATTCATACCGATGAGCTGAAAATGTAAGTGTAAAAATGCATGTCTAATTTAGAGATACAAATAGTGCAAGCAAAAATGACTGCAAGTTGTTAGGCTTTCCCTGCTGACTTTTTAAATTCTTATTTATTTTACCTGGCACAGTGGAATACGCAAACAGAAAATCTGCTTCTACTGGAATTTTGTATCTAGGATTAGCATCTGTTTCCAGATTGTCATTTGCAGGCCCAGAGTCAGTCTGTATCCCTTCATCAAATTCAGAGCCTCGGCATGCCTGAAACAGTATAGAAGACAGCAACAACTTGTCTAATAAAAAGAAATAAGTTGCCTTCACAAAGAAGTAGTCACTAACACTGTGGTTTTTTTTTTTTTTTTTTTTTTTAACTGGCACAGCTTTAAGAAGTACTTTGCATGAATTAGAAACAGAAAAGTAGTGCCTCAAGTTATTTAAGTGTTTAGTGATAATGTTTATGGAAAAAAGTGGCTGGCCATGACTAACTTTACTGTACAAGAACAACTATATTTGAAAATAGGTAAGGTAAGTAGTGGTCTTGCAAGCTCTGGACATCAAAGGATTATCAAGATGCTAAATCAGCATTCATGTCAGTGCAATATCCAACTTACTCTAAACTATGACCAATTTTCTAGCGTTGTCCTCGTTGTCCTAGCACTACATAATACATTAACTTACAGACCCTTCTAGAACTGACAAACAACATAAAATATTACTATTGCAGTGGGGAAACATGTTATATTTACCTTAAGGCTATTACCTGAATGAAAAATAATTTGGGTTTGCCTATAAGGCTTTTACATTTGTCTCCTCTGAAGAGTGCAGTCAGACTTTTGATTGCCATGGGTCCATCTGTGCCATAGATAAGGCCTTCTTCCCCATGGCTTAGAAGGATACAGGCAAAACAAGCAGCATCACCATGATCCTCCTCAGCAGCTGTAAATCAAACACCATTTAGCCCAAAGGAAGCAATATCTTAAAATGTCAATTAGCAAATATATCTTTCAATGGTATCTTGGTATCTACTTGGTATCTACTATCTACTGGTATCTACATCAATGGAAGGCACAGAAAAAGCAGTAGATGAAGATAGCACAAATCAATTTTCAATAGTGTGATGAGTACATCTCTACATTCTTCACGTGAGTGAGCCTAGCCCACTGGAATAGGCATGATGAACCACACTCCTCAGTTTAGCATGAGAAAAATACAAGAAAATTGTACATATGTGAATTTATGTTGAAGGAAGAGGTGGGGAGGACGAAACCAAATCCTCCTACATAGGAAATTGCACTTTACGGGACCTAAGCAACCCGATCTAATTTAACTTACTCTAAGTAGGGGGGTAGACTAGATGACCTTCAGATGTCCTTTGCAACCTAAACTATCCTATGATTCTTAATTATTACCTTGCCTCAGTAATTTTTCCATATCATCACGGCTTCGATCATTGTGTATGCAAACCTCAAAACCCAAACTTCTAAAACTCTTAGCCAGATCTCCAGCATCTTTATCGGTGCCATTGCGTGTGCCCATTCCTGTCAGAAAACAAATAATACAGTTGATGGCATATAAAACAATTTAAAACAGCTCATAGGTTTATAGGTAACTTCCCAGGTTTACAATTTATTGACATGATGACATTGACACCAATGTCATGGTGACATTGTTTTAAAGCACAATCTTTTAATAACTTTCTCAAATAACCTGCTTACATTCAAAGAAAATTGTGAGATTCAGTTTAATGCAAGAAAGGCAAGCTTCAATGACAAAATACATCTTGTCCTGACAAACGTTGCTTACTCCCAGCATTTTGCACCATATCTCCTTTTGGCTATGTAATATAATACATGCATAAGGCATTTCAAGAATAGTTTAGAGAGTGTTGAACAGTGTTAAACAAAAACAAAAAATAAAAACAGACACACCAAAAAACCACACTCATAGTAATACCTTTAAAATCCCTACCAAAAACTATGAAATTGAAGCAAAATAAACCTGCAGTTTTTTTGGTATTTGCACAGTGGGCCAAAAAAGAGGCATTGTGACCTCGCAAAGACCTGTGAAGTTGACTATAACACATACTATTACATATCTGCTTCAAAACCATCCACAGCTGGAAAGTTAAATTCAGCCATCTCAGGAGTGTGAATAACATGCAGTTGTGTCTTTTAGCTGTAGTTTGGTGACAGAGAAGTCACAACATGGGCTGCTGTTGCAGTAGTTCAAATTTCAATGACAGAACCTTAAACTTGCGGCAAAGGTTTAGTTTCAAGCTGACAGACCTCGCTCTAAAAAAACACCCACAAGGATGTTCGAGCTGCAAAAGAGATGCCAAGAGCTGTTCTAATACAAACATATAAGTAACAAGTGTGTTAATGAAAGAGTAAAACCTCTAAAAACTTGTAGTGAATATCAAAGGAAAAAGTTACCTGTTTTCTCCTCAAAATTTTTGTTGTTTATAATAATACACTTCCCAACTTTCTTGTAGTCCATGTTATACTGGAACGTGGGTGTAACAATTCGGTACTGATTACTGAGAGAAGACTTGGGCTGCTCCTCTTCTCCATTCTTCCTTTTTCTATGTGAACCAAAGGAAAACACTATTATAGCTGGTCATATGCACTATGGCTGCTTATCTTGATTCACACCATTTGGGCTGCCTATCTAATTCGTCTTCTTAATATTTGCGTTCCTTTATACTTCAGATAGAGATTAAAGATAATAATTCTTCTATTGAATCTTGTGATTCTCATGCAGCAGTTGCTGTATAGTACTGGACTCTGATGATGGCAAAACCACCCTAGATTGAACACTAACCAGTAACAGTATATTCAGACCTTGACCTGAATCTCACAGATGAAACAAATGGCCTAAAACTTAGGTCAGGCTGGCAGTAACTTTTTGCAGACTAGGGTCTTGGACTTAGGTGCTTTTTTAACCATGGCTACAAACAGCTAGTAAGAGGTTAGGGCTTTCTTAGCAGTGATTCCAAGTTCAACAAGCTTAAAGTCAACAGCCCCCTCTAAATTCTTTGAGGAACACAGGGCATTTTCTGCTTAGAAAGTTTACATATGTGAATAGCTCTTGCATTAACTTGGTCTGCCAATAGTCAGTTAAAATGCAAAAGTTAAATGCATTTAGTGCAAACATCTATATCTTAAATGCAATTAGAACAAACCCCCTCCTCAGACCTTTCTGAAATATGAGGGGTTCTAATTCATTTTGAAAGAGATGCAGAAGGAGAGCATGAACCTTATCAAATTTATCCTAAATGAAGTATTAAGCATCCAAACCAGTTATGGTCATCATTTGACACTCTTGCATGACAAGCATGAGGAACTTGCTGGCATTTTAGGACTTTTAGAATAGACTTTTGGTCCAAGCAGATAGCTTCTGACATGGTTAGATCTCCTCAAGCAGAACTGAAGCCAGTGAGATACTACAGTCTGATTCAACCCCAGCAATACAAAGTTTTTGGAGAAGGTTCGATTAAAAATAACAATCCAGAAAGAGCAGAAGAAAGTGTAGCCCAGCAGCCTGCTTCCAGTATATTTCTTGCTGATATCTTAGAGGGAAACACAGCCCCTTCTATTTGTGCAAGCTACTATAGTTTGTTTGAAACTTAATTGAGGTTACGTTAAAAATAAATTCAATTATTTTCATTATTCTCGCACCTAAGCCTTTCTGAAGGATTACTAGCTATTTGCTTCAATTATAGCCTGTAAACATGAAATTGCTGCCAATTGATTTGAATGTTTAGAAAATATTTTCTTACCTTCTCAATTTAACAATTGCTGTCTTTAGCTCTAAGTGTTCCCTTTTTTCAACTACTAAGAGAAAAGACAAATGGGAAACCATAACAAACCTGCTCTAGATTATTCCTCATTTTGATATGCTACTGTAATTCAATTTTATAACAGTCTTCCCTTGAGTAAACTCCTGCTGTTATAAAAGGCCAAGCTTAATAGCTGTATTTGGTAGACCTTCTCTGTACTCTTCCACCTGTAACCATACTCATATCATCTCTTAGTCCTCTCATACAGACTTCAAAATAAGGTTTTGAATGGTCTCCACTTGAGGATTTCATTTGATACTTGGGTAGCACCATTTCTGCTAGCAAATGGCAAGTATTGGTATTCTCTTCACATACTGCTGCTGCTAGAGGGCTCTGGGAGCAATAATTAAGTACACTCTGCCTCAGGAAAAGACTTCAACCATTTTAAAGAATTATCCATAGCTGGATGATGTTAATACCACAATAGAGTTTCAAAGAGATTCCTTATTTTAAACTAAAAATCCCTCTGGTACAGTATTGCTACACAGATAGCTGGCAAAAAAAGAGGAAAAGAAATTTCAGAACAATAAACAATGACTGGGGTCAATGAAGAGGCTAATTTTAACAGTGCACATCCGATTGGAGCTTCTACAGGCTTCACTGGCTTCCTAGGCAAGCTCTATGACTAACAGTGGTTGCCACATACCACAGGATTTTTTTTTTTTTTTTAAAAGGTGTGTGTATCCAAATTTCCAGTCATGTGCAGACCAGGAACAGTTATAAACTCTCAAAACAGATCTGTATCAGTGGTACAATATCACCTTACCCTGTTCATTTTTCTGAAATGTGGCGGATGAGTTAATTCTACTTCAGAAGTCACATAGACCTCTTACCATGCAAAAAACCTGATTGAAAATACAAGTCAAGTGGCATAATTATGTAGCCAAACAGTATTGCCCCTGACCTCTGGCACGTGCCCACATCCATGAGGAAATATCCAGGCTTTAAGGGATGCAGCAACTGCTGGTATTCCCCAAAACAGGCCAGAATCCATGCTGTACAATGCCAAGTGCCACAGAAGGCCTCTGCTGTATGATTACAGCACTAGGCAGCCTATCCTTTTCATTCCTCCTTACCTTTCCAGAGGAGGATGTAGTTCTGCTTGAATGATTCCTTCTAAGAGGAAGGAGCATATCAGGTACTAAGCAGCCACATTTACTGTAGGTTTACGCCTACAATTTATTTACTGGCAGAAAACAAAAGAGTTCCAGAAAGCTCTTGGTACCCATCCAACCTGGATGACTAAGGAAATACCACAGGAGCATATATATAGATATATATGTGTGTGTGTGTGTATATATATATATTTACATATATATGTAATTTGGATCTGCAGTCCAGACCTGATTATTTTTGAAGCTTCTGTTCTCTGTGCCAAAAGAGCAGGATATAGAAACTGCCCAACTGGACTGAACTGACTGATCAGTCAGGTTCCACTCTACAGCTTAAACCAGCTAAAATCAGCCCTTGCAATAACAAACAATAATGTAATCACTACATACATAATAGACCTTAAAGAAAATTTCCCATACGGGAGAATTCTGTCTGTGCCTTGCAGCATGAGTTCTATAGATACATTTTTATTTTCTAACCTTTAAACTGGGTACATGCTAATATAAACTTTTGCAGATGTTGTTCTTAAAGTCTGCTAACAAACAGAAATAAAAACAAGAATGTTATAGGGTTTCCACAGGTTTATTATATGTTTTATTAAACTATTTGTCTCATTTTATTTCTAACTACCTGATATCTAGTACTTTTTATTTACCTCTTTTTGGATTAAATCTTCTTCAGACTAAATGTAAATTTGTATTTTATGATTGTTCCCTTTTTCTCTAATTTTTAATTGTAACTGCACCGTAATTACTCACTCCATTTGTGCTCCACCTCTTTTTCCTTAGAGAAATATTCCCCCTATCACACTCTCACACATTTCATGTTCTCTCCTTTTGGTCAAGAGTTGAACAGAAGTGAAATGCCGCTCTGGCAGGCTCATAGAGCTCACACATTTTCATCTTTACTGCGTCTCTAAATCTAGGCCTTAGACTTGACAACCATACGTTGTCTGGGAACGCAGCTTCATGAAGGCTACTCTTTATTGGTGTCAGCCCTGGGAAAATCATTGCTATCAACTTCTCACATTTCAAAAATAAACAGTATGGGAAAGCTTGATTTTTAGTATTCTGTTATTGAAGTTTTCAATACCAAAGACCAAATTTCTCATCACTGTGAATGGCTAAAATTCTATAAAAGTCAATTGAGATGCATTAAATTGCACCAACCTCATCTCTGATCCTGACCGCCTGCAGGACTGCTAGCTAACATCATAAACTTCCTTTCCTATTCCACGGTGAATAAATCGTAAGTTTAATGTGTAAGGATACTGGGATTTAAGGGTTTAAAAGGCTAAAGGTGCCCCAATAGCATTTAAACAAAGGCTATGTAAAACTCTTGACCAGTTTGCTTAAAGGAGTCTCCTAGCACCAGTAATTTCTTCTCCTTTGGTTTTTTCATCATACTTTCCCCTTCCTGCTGTATATTGGAATTTCACATTAGTGCAATAAAAGGCAGTGTGCTTCCTTGGATATTCCAGTTCCTTATCACATCTCTCACCTACTACACCCAACTCCTGGGCTCAGGTCCGTGAGTCCTCCAGAGCTCCAAGCAATTCAGTGAGAACTGTCAGCTCAAGTCCAAGCGTAGCATGATATATTTCCATGGGAGATCTGCATGTTTATCACCTTGAACTCACATTTCCTAAACATTACCTAAAGCTTAGGGGGAAAGCCAGCATACCATGAGGAGAGCTCAGCACTGCTGCACTCTGGGCAAAGTGTGAGGGCCAGTGTCTGCAAGAGGCCGTTGCTCTAAAAAGAGCAGGTCTGCTCTAGGGCTGGGTCCTCTCCTTGCCAGCACCATGTTGGGCAAGGGGGTAGAGTGGCTAAAAGGGAACATTAAAAGGAAGAAAATGCCTTCTCTAGGGTAGAGACCATTACAGCAAGGCATTTACGACACCTAAGTATGAGCAGTGATTAAGACTCATGATAACTTACAGTCCATAAAGCTCTTCTGAAAGCTTCAAATTCTTTGCTCTACAATATTTTTTTTCTGCTCCCCCCGCCCCCCAAGAGGAAGCTAATGTGTCTAACCAAAGAGAACTCTAAAAATGAAACTATATGAGTGTACCTGGGCTTAGGAAGCAGATATATTCCCTCTTACTCACAGGAAAATTAGGGACTTTTGTGGCTACCCTTTAATAACTGATAACAGGGTTTTGTTAAAAAGAAAATGATTACCTTTAAAAAAAAAAAAAGTTTACTCTTTCACAACCTTCTTTCCAAACTTCTAGCTTTAATATTTTTATTCAATCTAAATTCACCATATTTACTACATCCATATTTACTGCACACTCACCTTTCTTTGGATTTCCTGCTCTTGAAATCTATTGGCAACAACAAGCACAGGACACTCATGAAATCTGACTAGAGATTTTTTAGATCTCAAGTTCTTTAAGGCAGACTCTTTGTTCTTTGTCACATCCACTTTGGTAAAGTGACATGCAGATTTAGAGCAGCATGCAAATAACGGATTACGCTGTTGCCTTTTCCTGTTAATGTTGCATCTAGCTTGCAGAGCCGCAACATTTCTGGACAGGGAGAATGTGTCTTTACTTGAATTGCTTGGCTTTTTAAAAATGTGTAATCTCTTAATAATCAGAGAGCAGAAACTATATGGGATAAGGA